GGTCCGAGGGATTCTGAGATATGACTCCGGACGAACGCACGGACACACGAACGCACGGATGCACGGAGACCGAATTATAAGTCCCCGTTTTCGGACTTCGTCCGAACGGGGACTAAAAATGTTGTGTCACTCTTCATTAAACTACATAAATGACTACTTTAAAACATTATTTTGATGTTTTTTATCAATGTTTTTTTAAGTTCATGAATGTTATTGTACATGTGCGCATGGATTTAATTTAGGGTATTGATCAAAGGACACCCTCTACAGGACAAGCACTTATACATGTAGGTTCATTGGTTTTCCACTGATGGCTAATAACATAGCATAACTATGAAGGCCTCATGATACATTTGTTGCAAATGTCATCAGATTTTAACCTTCACAAAGCAAATCAAAAAAAGCTTAGAAAGAACTTAAGATTTGCATTTCAAACAAGAAACTTAGCAACTAATATTTGTCTACTATTTGCGATGCACAACATGAAAACAATATGATTTACATTATCAAAATTTATAATACATACAGAAAATACATTTGATTTTTCATCCATGGTTTTTAGTCTAATTAATTAATTAATTAATTAATTAATTAGAGTACCTCTGTTATGAATTCAATTTAAATCTGATTTTTTAAGATATCAGGAATTGGCTAATACTAGATAAACAATATGCATTTTTATCAACATTAAACTAATCACGTCTGGACTACCTCAATGAGCCAAATGAATCATTATACATTAATCATTATATTGTTTCAGGGCACACATGTACAAAGTTTCATTACAATGTGCTGATCAATCCTAACTAAATTAGTGGAAAGCTGAAAAGTAAATTATTATGCAAATTATGTAATTATATAGCTCTATATAAACCTAAAATTAGATCATCACATTATGTTAGAATATATATGCAGTTGAAAATTGGTTAATTATGCAAATTCGGTAATTCATATGCACCGATTTTAACCCAAAACTAAACAGGTCTGTGCGTTGTCCTAGAACATCTATGTACCAGGATTCATTGAAATGGGATAATTAGCACTTGCGATATCAGTCTAAAAGCTGAAAATCAACTAATTATGCAAATTAGTTGATTAATATTCACACATTTTTACCCAAAATTAATCAGGTCTCTGCATTGTTCTAGAAAATATATGTACCAAGTTTCATTGAAAATAATGAAGTGATAGCACTTGAAATATCAAAAGCTAAAAATTAATTAATTATGCAAATTAGGTAATTAATATTTCACATATCTGTCTGTGCATCGCCTACGTATCTATGTAAGTTTCATTGAAATGTGATGATTAGTACCTGAGATATCAGTGGAAAAGACAAAAATTGAATAATCATTATGCAAATTAGGTTAATTATATGAATGGATTTTTACCCAAATCTCATTTAATTTGTATATTAGTCCAGGGCATCTATGTACAAAGTTTCATCAAAATCCAATGAGTGGTTGTTTAGATATTAGTGGAAAAGTCATGGAACAGCTCAAAATTAGCTAATGCCAATTAGGTAATTAATATGCATGGATTTCAACCAAAACCTAGTCAAGTCTGCGCATTAGCCAAAAGCATCTATACACCAAGTTCCATTAAAAACTAACGTATGGTTTCTTGAGATATCAGTGGAACTGACGAACACACACACATACACAAATACAGACAGGGTAACTGCAAAGACTCCCATTGTGTGCTTTGGGAGTCAAAAAGTAGCATACCTGACCAAACAATTGCATAGTTTTTATTGGTAAGATCAAAATGTACCCACAAACATTATCTCTATGATTTTAATTACCATGGTAACATTGTCAATTTTATGCTAACATATTGAAGTTTTTGTGAAAAAAAAATCTGAATTGTTATGAATTAAATTTAAACATACCCTCCTTCTTCCTCCAACAATGCCAGGAACTTAGGGACTCGGTACTGTCGTTCCGTTTGTCGTGCCATTTCTATCAAAACTAGTAACTTTTTTATACCAACCCATAACCTGTAAACAAATCAAAAATTAAGAAAAAGGTAACCTCCATTGAATGCTACAATGTACTGCATTCATATTGGTCCAAAAGAAGACATGATTAATTTTAATTAATTTTAATTATGATCACACACATTTGATCTCCCACAATGCATCTGAGAATCTCACCTTTTACCTCGTACTTTCTGTCCAATAATCTTGAATTCATTAGCATGAAAACACTCCAATGTCTGGAATAATAAAAACAGCCAGTATTATTATTTGTATGTATCAAATATCAAACACAACGTTGAGTCAAAGGTTACACAGCATATATGAATAATTCAAAGTTCTTCAACAATAAAAGCGTAAATGGTCAGTTACGCATAAAGATGGATTTCCATGCTGTCTGCTGGGACCATGGGAGGACAGTGTTGATTGGTCAGTTCAAAGAAAGAAGTTCACTGTTCATTGGTCAATTGGAAGAAAGAATCACTGTTCATTAGTCAGTTTGAAGACCGAGTCACTGTCATTGGTCAGTTTGAAGACCGAGTCACTGTCATTGGTCAGTTTGAAGACCGAGTCACTGTCATTGGTCAGTTTAAAAAAGTTTTTGATGATTGGCAGTTGATCAGTAGAAATGATGCATAGGAAACATTAAGTTGTTTGATTTGAAGAAGACATTGTATGTAGAAATTAATTTTGAAGAAGAAACTACACAAAACATGAGTGAACACAAAACATTGTACAATGTGATACGAAAAAACAACAACATACAAAGTGGAAGTGTACCTAAAAATGTTGCACTTTTGTTTATTTTGGGAAGGGTTGGGTTAATGATCCACAGACTTTTAGTACTGTCAAGAGAAAATAGACCTTTTACAAACACAATAACTACACTACTTTTGACTACATACCTCAAGAACTTCCATAAGATGGTCTCCGGTAGACAAATTAGACACATGCACTGTCGTATCAAATGATGTCAACATCTCCATCTCTTTAAGTACATCTTGTCGACTGGTCGTCCCGATAATTAATAATTTACGACCCTTGAAGATGGAACAAAATTTAATGTATTTATTTGTTACTGAGGTCAACATGCAAAAAACCCACTTACAGATCTGGAAGCCAGCATGTTCTTACAATTGATGACAAGAGAAAGGGCTGAGGAAGATTATCTGCAAGGCTTCTCAAATTCAAATTCACCTAGCACTTTAATAATAATAATAATATGAGGTTATTACTAGAATACCTCAAAGTATGCACGAGTGCAGACTTTGAAGTATTCTCATAATAACCTTATTATTATACATCTTTTCCTCCCAAGAATACATCATGGGAATGCTGAAATCCAAAAAGTTTAGAACAGAAACAGCGAACTTCTTTGTGTGGAGTCCGGTCAAACCCTGGTGGCAGCCATGTTTGTTATAATATTAGAGGATGCTTACGTGTGTAATCATTCCATATTTGGAATTCGCATTTCCTAATATGGTAGGATGGAAATACCCCAAAATTACGGCATGCTGTAACTGATGGCGTTACAGTGACAGATGTATAATAATAATGTTTTATTGCATCTTTAGAAATAACACTTCTATAATTTTTAATCTGAAAATCTGTTCTATTCTCTTACCTTTGGTGGTGGTTTCTTTAATAAAACTAATAAAGCTTGTAAAACAAGATTAGAGAACCTTGGTCCAATAGGAACATAATCTGAAGATGAAAGAAAGTTGACTGGTTATAGCAATAAGGAGGAGGGAAAGCATGCAGTTGAGATGTCATGAGAACAATAATGTGTTCTGATGAAAGTCATTTTTGCCAAAGAGAATTGGGAGCAATAATGACATGCTTTTAAGACCAAAAGGATTCCATCCACAAGAAAACTTAAAAAATTCATGGTGGTGTGGTTTTGAAAACATGCACTCAGATTGATAAAACATTCTCTGAAACAGAATTCAAACATTTCTCCATACCTGCAACAACAAAAATGTTTGAGGCAAGGGTTTTAAACAAAATTCATACATGACAAGTTTTTTAATCTTTGGGTGCCATTATTTTTTTCAGCAACATTTTGCCAGTTTTTATATATTTTTCTACATATTTTTTTATCATTCTGAACCAAATTTACATAATTTTCTATTGGCAGCAAGTCTTCATCAAAATATTGGATACAATATGAAAAAATTGTTCATGTTTAAAATTTGTGGATGACAAAAGTTAGTTCAAAAAGAAACCATACTTCAATATACTGAAACACAAACTGTTCTCTATTCATTATATATTGTACACTTCCACCATAATATTGTTGAACAAAAAAAAAAACAATCCCCAGAGTACATACCTAGTAGTCGTTCTATTTCATCAACAACAACACAACTTAACTGGGATTTGTATGCATCTTCAAATATCTATAAAAAATAATTACTCTGAAGTTAAAATGAGATAATCAAGAGAATATGCTGAATTGACCTTTTCACCTGCAGACTTACCCAAATTTGTCTGCATTTTTTTCTTATAATCTCTAATATTTTTGGAAATGAACGCTAATTTTGAAGCTAACAGTCACAATTTGAGCTAATTTTCAGTTTTTACTCAAAAAATTTCACTATTTTTGTCCCAATCTTCTGAAAGAAAGTGCAGACTATAAATGGGACAATTTTGTAAATTTGTGATGAAAAGAGGGAACTGGTGGTGAAAAAGTTAAGTCTGTACGACGATCATATCAAGCTACATGTGCAACGAAGGTCAATGCAATCTCATACTGTATTTCTGATAACTATTATTATGCTTCTTTTTTTTGTATGTTATAATAATTTTAATAAGAGATAACTGCCCAACATGGGAATAAAACTTTTGCATTCAGTAACAGGAATCTATTTATATTACTATTATTACTAGCTTCTCATTCAATGTTAACAAACGGGAGTTTGACATTGTGGACTGTGTTCAACATTGAGGACGTAATTTACCTCAAATAAAGAAAAATTTGAATGTTTGAAAAAATTAATATATGTTGTTATTTATCAACCTCTGATTGGTAATGATACCTTTCGTATTGCTTGACATTTAGCTCCTTCAGTATAACCAATCATGTCTTCAGGTGAACAAATTTTCACAAACGGAAATTCAGACTCCATTGCTAGTTTGGCTGCCAAAGCAGTTTTCCCGCTGGATGGAGGACCTTAAACAAACAAACAAAACGATGACTATTTAGTGATGTGGAAAGTAGATTGTTGCATTTTTTTTAAAAGCACTGATTCAGAAGATGTAATGTTTATTTTGTTTTTTAAAATTATTTAGTTACTGCAGCTACCGTACATGTCTGTTGAAAGACTTTTGTATAATTTATGTGAATGTGTGCAATTTTGTAGTTAAAATTACCATCAAACACTTGAATATGTTATATTCATCACTCCCAACAGTTTTCATCTACTTTTAACTTAAAGTGGGGGAGTCGTCACCTGCGCATGCGTCAGATGGCCATAGCGTGTCATTGTTACAAACAAGCATCTACCCATGAGCCTTTGTGTTTTTAGTATGTGTTGTTATCATCACTTGGAACACAATTCAAGCATAGGTGACAACCCTCTCACTTTAAAAGGTGGTAGCTGTTGTGAATATTGAATACATTAAATATGTTGTGCAAATAAACATTACATTTGACCTGCACTCATAGATGCTGCTATGGCATAATATCGAAAAAGTTTTCACTTGTAATAATCAGTGAAAATGTTACATTAAAAATGCGACAATGGAATTCGGTTACAATTATACCATACTATCAGTCATTTGTGATTTAACATATTTTTGTAGCAAGTTATCATCAATGATATTGAAAGCAAGAATATTTAAAGATGAGAGTCCAAAGATCGTTAAAGCATGAGAACAAACTAGAAAAACCATGATCAACTTTCTTTACTTACCTTCTAGTAACATACTAACTAAAGGCGTTCTTTCACTATTTCTCGCCTGCTCAATCTTCAATTCACCATCTTCAATGATTCGTCTGACAGGATCTCCCCAATTGATGATGTCATTCAATATGTAGTTTTCAAAATGTTCATTACTCACACCGAATGCCTGGATGAATCAAGATGGACAATTAGTACTTCAGATGCCATATATATCCCACAAATTTTTAGTGCATGTTTTTTTGTTTTTTTTCCATAATTTTTTATCATTTTTGAGTCAAATGGATATAATTTCACAATGGCTTGATCAATTTGGTTTTTAGATAATTATGCTGCTTTTTTTTTTCAATGAAAAGTTGTTAAGGTTGACTCCTTGTTTTGTTGAACTGTCAAATGTTACAAAATTTGTGATTTTTATGAAAAGAGTGACTTTCCCCCTTGGTTTAGTAAGAATATCAGCAGAATATCATGCAACTATGTTTTGATATTAATATCAAGTGCCTGTACTTTGATATTAATATCAGTGACTGGGATTTTATATAACCAGATATCAAGTGACTGCAATTTGATAGCAGCAGAATATCAAGTGACTGTGATACATGTATAATATCAGCAGAATATCAAGTGACTGTAATTTGATAGACTCACAGGTTTAATATCATACTCCAATGCATGAATGAAATCAGTTCTTGTGACCACCAAGTCATCAGCAGCAGTATCATCTACTTCAACTTTTGCTGTTGCCTACAAATTACAAATATTGTTATAACACATAATTATGACATTATTATGATATTATTATATCTCTTGTGACCATGACAACCAAACAGATTCATGCATCACAGGTTAACGTTTCGTAGAGATTTTGCATGAGTGTTAGTCATGCTTTCTAAGAATTTTACCAGCATGCATTGCCACACACTTGGCAACATTTGATCTGTCCTAGCAGAATTTTGTCTCTCTAAAGTATCTGAAAGTCATGGACTTTGCCATGAGACGGACTGCTATGTTTGATTTTGTACTGCATTTTGTGTGTATTTATTTATAAAACCATGAAGGTAAATAAGGTATACATAATAAAGCTCAATAAATTGCATTTACTGTTCTTAAACTCTTTCAACTTGTAGATTTGTGTGCATACATGCATTCAGCTCTACATGGGTGTTCTGGATTGAATGCCACACTTTCTGTTTTATGATATATTCAGAGATCTTCCAGTCACTAAAACTGTATGATCATCCACCTCTGTTGGGGTGGACATTTGTATAACGGCTTTCTCCATTCGGAACAAGGAAACAAGATAGCAACAAAATTTATTGAAATTATTAGTTTGTCATGCTTGCTTTTACTATTTGACTATTGTATTTATGAGAAAACTGTGATTTCATTTGATTTTCAGTCAAGCTTTGCCTTGCTTGTATATATGAGCTCCTTAGGTTACTTATAATTGTATGACCATTGTTGAAGCGAACATTTGTAAAATTTAACATATTTCGATGACAAAATGATTGGAGTGGTAGCATGGGCAGGAGTTCAAATATGAAAACTGGTCACACACTGGGACAACTATAGAGTATTCTATTATCATTGTACATACATTTTTATTATTAAAAACAAAACAAAAACACATTTTTTTATACTTTTTAGCAGTTGTAATTCAGATTCTAACATGACTACCGTATTTAGTTTTATAGACACCAACAAACTATTCAGTGACAAGCAGTGAAAGTTGGAAATAGGGCTCAAAACATAAAAGCTGGATTGAACTACTAAATTTTCTAGCAGACAACCAGTTTCTTAGAGTGGTGCATTTTTTGTTATAATTCCGATCCCTTGTGGGTAGGTAGTGGGATAATTTGTATGTACCTTAATCAGCCTATTCATTGCTGTAGACTGTGCTGCCCTCACTAAACCTTCTATCTCAGCACCACTGAAGTTCTTAGTCATTGCGGCTAACTCCTCAACATCAACGTTTTTAGCTAACTTTTTGTTAGCACGCATTTTACTGACATAAATCTCAAAAATCTGTTTTCTTCCTTCCTCATCGGGCAGACCTGGTAAGTACAAGAAAAGAAACACATGACATTATACATGTATTACTGTAAATGGAATACATAATACCGTGGCTGGAATTATTACACTTTTTGGGTGTTTTCTATGGATTTTATTTTCACTGATTTTTGATGAGTTTTGACGAAAAAAGGTATATTTGCTGGATTCTATTTTTCACTGAATAATTCCTTCAGCAAAAATAGTGAAAATTAATTCCAAACAAAAATAAATTATTTTACAGTAGTTTATAATTAGTTAAATATCCCGAAATGACAACAAAAAACGTTTGAACTATAGGAGTGTTTATGCGAGCAAAAGGTATCCATTTTCATTATAGCATTTCTGCGTGTTCGAATATGATGTAAATAACCTGAAACGCATCAATGTCAAAGAAGTAATTTACACTGTATAGAGTAAAATTTGAGCACTGAATGAGTGCTGATAAGTTTTAGAACAAGTGCCAATACACTTGTTCACAGAGCAAAAAATTCTATCGTTTTATTTTTGGTGTATACTAATCATACACCAAAACACAGACGTGATATTTTTTAATAAAATAATTAAAAACTACTTACCAATCTCCATCTGGACTTCTAACCTTCCGGGTCTCAATAAAGCGTCATCAATTAAATCACGTCGATTAGTCATACCTAGGATTAACCACGTATAAATTTAAATGTGTTTTTAGAGAAATTATATTTAAATAGAGAGTACAAATTGTGAAGTATCAAGAAGCAAAGTTACAAAAGGTGTGAAAATAATGTTATAACTAACTTTTGTATTCATTTTTTTTGTGCCCCCACCCCCAGTAGAAGTAATGGCTTCCCATTTACTCCAGAAATAAATCAAGTCAAAAATCTATACTGGCAAATTATACCTAGTGGTTAAAGGGGTGCAGAGGTCTGGCTTTTGTCACTCTGTACATGAAATTTGAGATCTATGAATGAATTCTGTCGATAAAAACAACTTGTATGTGCTGTGAAATGCCCTCAATATCAAGTATAAAACGGGCTGTGAAGCAGACGACAAACTTCCGCTTTACCTGGCATCATTTCGCCTCTAGAGGGCCAGTCAATGATGTCATCAGTGAACACTGATAATTGAACCCATTCATTCTAGTACGTCAATCTCATAGAAATGCTACTACCTTGCTAACTGACAACTTAAAAGTTGAAACATGGCGAGGTGTTGTGCGTATGAATGTCATAACGATTCATATTAAGTTTCTCGAAATCCCAAATGTAAAGCCAATATATAAGTTTGACAGTGATCAGCTGAATAATTGTGGAGTGCCCACAAGAAATGTTTGCGACGACTTTTTGCCACTACTATGACTTTTCCTTAAGTTTATTATGGGCAAGCCAATAAAACACAAATAACATATCAACTACTTACCAATTACTAAAATATTATTCAGCTGTTCAACTCCATCAATTTTTGAAAGTAACTGATTGACCACTGTATCATGAACACCAGTACTTCCAGACTGAAATAAGAATATGAAAGATATAAACACATTGCAGTTCATGAACGCTGTCCAAATATGGAATCAAGGTAAGGGCCTACTGAGATATGTGATGTAAATAGACAATTTTTGTTCACTGTGAGATCCTGTGTTATGCGTGAAATCCAATGAAAAAACTGTACAAACAAAGGTCATAGCATTGTAATGGCAGGAAATCATCATATGGGATTCATCAAACATGTATTTGGGTATTTCCAAGCTCAATAATATGAAGTTATTACGAAGATACCTCAAAGTATGCATGAAGACAGTACAGCAGGAATATCGACTGACGTGCAGCAGAGGTCAATGTGACGGTGTAATGCCTGAGTTTGAGGTATCTTCATAATAACCTTATTATTATACATCTTTTCCTTCCAAAGATGCATCATGGGAATGCCGAAATCCAAAATGTTTAGTGTTGTCTTTTTGTATTCACATAACATGTCTTGCATGTTTATTTGTGTTTTGATCAGCACAATAATTTAATTCTTTTCCGTTTATGTTATTAAACTTTTCTCTCATGTTATGGGTTTCCACTGCATGACAGGTACATAAAACTTATTCTGAATGTGATATCATATTTACATATCCTGATTTTATAAATTCAAGACATTTGTTGTAAAGTGGAAAGAATACTATTATTTGGAGAATGTGAAAGGAAAGATTTAATTACTTTAAAAAACAATATGCAAGATGTATTGCATTGCTAAATATTTTTAACAAAAATACAATATACCAAATTATAAATTTAAAGGGGTTTCATTTTTTGTAATAGATATTTTCTTTTTTAATAGTTTTTCATTAGTATTAGTTGTATCTGTAACAAGCATCTATCCATGAGCCTTTGTGTTTTTTGCGAGTGTTGTTATTGTCAGTTGGGACTCAATTCCCGCCTGTGCACAGGTGATGACCCTCCCGCTTTAAAAGGATCTACATGCGTTCGCACTTGTTTACATTTTATACTCTTGCGCGTACACAGTGACTGCTGGGTTGGCAAGACGATAATATAAAGACGCTGTTCACTACAGTTGTTATTCAATATACACATGTATATGCCTCAGTTAATAAAACAACTTACGGACAAGGTTGCGGTTGTAAGCAAGCGTTGATCAATGGGCGACATTAATCATCAAAGATTCCCATGCTTGCTGGCAAAAATTACTTTCTTTAGTTTTTTTACATATGTATATCATAAACAACAACATATTGTGTTTTCCGAAAATCATACAAGATTACAAACATCTTGAATATTTTTCATATTATTATTTAAAGTTGGTGCACGCATATACGAATCATACTGCTGGAAATTGTCTTATGTAAATTAATAAAGCGGGGGAGTTGTCACCTGCGCATGCGTCAGATGACCATAGCGTGTCATCGTTTATTAACAAGCGTCTACCCATAAGCTTTGCTTTGGACTCAATTCCTGTGTGTGCACAGATGCCGATCTTCTCGTGTTAAAAATCAAGATTATAAATAATAGTGAGATAGAAAGCTGATTACCATGCTTCCTCTTTGCTTACAGATTGCGTCTATTTCATCAAATATGATAATGTGCAGTCCACTGTTGTTTGCAAGCTAAAGATAAAGGTAAAAAAATACAATAAAAATATTTTAAAATTGAAACAGATTATTAGTTTGTAATTGAGACATTCTTTATAACATACTAATTAGTAACTGTGGTCAGCAAACTAGGGTGAAAGATAATTAATTGCTAATTAAGCAAAAGATTAAAAGTTAAGTTACAGAACAACTCAAAACTTTTATAGAAAACACTCAAAAGCAAATAGGCAAGTTTATTCACTAATTCGCTGACAACTATAGTGTAAGTATTAGCAGAGATGACATACAGTCTAACCAGTCAATTTAATAATCACTTCAATAACTGTGATATAACTTTAATAATTCAATTTTGAAGTGAAATATATAACTACTGAGTATGACATAATATAAATATACAGTTTTAGAAAACATTTGAGGTTAAGTGTTATTGCATTGTCCCTCCCAGCTACAATATAGATTAGTCCACAGTGTGTGTGACTACTTGGTAGGCCTACTGTGTTGTCAAATATAAAATTATCAGTGAATTAATGAAAAAGTTTGCTAACATGTTTCTTCTAAAACTTGCAGTATATCAAAGTACAAGTGATGCAATTAACTAAGACTTGCAGTATATCAAAGTACAAGTGATGCAATTAACTAAGACTTGCAGTATATCAAAGTACAAGTGATGCAATTAACTAAGACTTGCAGTATATCAAAGTACAAGTGATGCAATTAACTAAGACTTGCAGTATATCAAAGTACAAGTGATGCAATTAACTAAGACTTGCAGTATATCAAAGTACAAGTGATGCAATTAACTAAGACTTGCAGTATATCAAAGTACAAGTGATGCAATTAACTAAGACTTGCAGTATATCAAAGTACAAGTGATGCAATTAACTAAGACTTGCAGTATATCAAAGTACAAGTGATGCAATTAACTCACTCTTTTTTGTTCCTCTTCGGCAGCCGCGAACAATTTTCTGATATTTGCTTCAGACTCTCCTACATATTTATTGAGTATCTCGGGACCATTGACGATTTGCGGTTCTCTCGCATTTAACATTGTACCAATCTGTCTGGCCATCAACGTTTTACCCGTACCTATTCAATGATAACGGAGAGAGATAAATGCACAATGTACTAATAATAACAACCTACAAACCTTCCGACCATTATTTTTTTTCAATTTTTAACAAAATGAATCATTCCAGCTTAATTTTTTCATATTTTTCAGAGATTTATATCCAAGGGAAAATTGTGTCAATTTGGTCCAAAATTAACAGAGAAATTACAGAAAAATACATAAATATGTGCAAAAAATAGCAAAATTATAAATGACATAATAAAGATTTTCATGTGAACAATTTCAACTGAGATTAAAGCAGAGGGGTTGTCACCTGCGCATATACAGGAATTGAGAGTCAAGCAATGATAACAATGCACAATAAAAATGCAAAAGTAGATGTATGTAACAATGACATGCTATTGTCGTTTTCCACATGCATAGGTAACGACCCCCCCCCCCCCTCAATTATATTATAACAAATAAACCACCTTCATGATCCTATAGTTCACACATCCTGGTACTTTTGTTGGTATGACATCATCACAAACATACACAAATGGGGCATTTAATATCTTTGTTATTCCTAACAGAAACATTTTACTCAAGTATTTAAAACAACAAGTTATTGTGACATATACAATGACATAGACAATGACATAGTCCCCGTTGGAATTAGGGGAAATGTTATTCATGCCAATAATAAAGTAATATGGACCGAAAGCATAGTTAGTAATAGAGAGTGAATAATTGGCTGGTCTAGTACTGTAAAATACTTTTATATAAATTATTTTTTTTTATATTTTACATTCAACTCGTCAAAAATTAGTGAAAATAAATTCCATACGAAACATCAAAGGTTCCAGGTTCATGTGCAATATTATTATATAGGTTGTATGGTCAAAAAGCATGACTGCAGGCAAAACAGATTGAATGAATGGGAACTAAATATTTGAATCAAGATAATTCTGTTGAAATATCAATAAAATAATTCAATTGTAATTCTTACAAAAGTACCAGGATGTGTGACCTTTAGAGGTCATAAAA